TCCCTTGCGGCCCCGCCCGCGCCGGCGGCCGCCGTCCGGGGCCCTTTCATATGCAAGCCCTCCCCGCCGGGCCCTCCCCCTGTCCGCCCCGCCGTCTCCGCCCCCCTTCCCTCACAACGTGCATCCGCTCCCGACCATGCGTCTTCGCCTCTCGACCCCAGGCCCTCATTCTCCGAAGTCGTCCAGGAGCTGGAGGGCGTCGACGCCCTCCTCAAATCAGACCCCGCCGGCTGCCAGTTCCCCGCCGCGTCGGCCGCCGCCTCCTGCGCCGTCGCGCTCGGCGGCGGCCAGTGGTGGCAGCAGGCGTGCTGGCAGGGGCTGCAGTCGCCAGACGCGTGCGAGAGCATGAGCATGGGGGACACGGGGTCGCGCGTGACGGTGCTGCAGCAGCAGCAGCGGCTCAACATGCTGCAGCAGCAGCAGCAGCAGCAGGCAGGGCCGCCCACGGCTGGCCCGCCGCCGGCGACGGCGCTGCAGCAGAACCCTGCCGGGTAGCTGCCGCGTCTTATCTGGCAGCTGACCCCGTCCTTGCCGCACGCCACGCCCCCCGCCTGAGTGCCCGCGGCACCGACCGCGGCGACACGCGGTGACTACGCCCCTGTATGGCCCGCGCGGCTTGCCACACCGTTTCGCCCCCGCCACGGGCGGCCCTCGCTTTCCATGCGGCTGGCTACCCTTGGGTGCGGCCTCCCCGCCACTGGCTTGACCGACCGTCTTACCATTTGCAATCAAGGGCTTTTTTTTGTTGATGATCGGTCCCTCTGGCGCCGCGCCCGGGGACCTTTCCATGTGCATACATTGAAGGGTTCCTCGCCGCCTTGGTGGCGCTGCCTGCGCCCCTCAACAGTTGGCCCCCCCGCCACTGCCCGTGCAGAGCTTTTTCGTTCGCCCCTGGGTTTCGGCAGGTTTTGCTTAGCCCCCTCTGCCGCGCGCCGTGGCGGGGCCTCTGGGCGCCTGCCGCGGGGTTGGGGTGCGCCCGCGACCCGCAGCACTCCTCTGCTGGCGCGTCGCGCCCATCCGCGCGTTTGCTTCGCCCCGCACCGAGCGTTTTGTGCCTCGCTTCCGGTGTGCTTCGTTCCCCCGCACGAATCCAAAACTGTCATCCACTGGGGGCGTCCGTTTTCCGCACAGGTGGACTTGAATGCTTCGAAAGTGACTCGGGGCGCGTCGACCCACCCGCGGCGCCCCCATTTCAGGCGTCCGCTGCGCGCGCGGCGCGGCCCCAACGCGGCCGCGCGCGCAGGCGGGCGGGCACGCTGCGGCTCCGCTGATCGACCCTTGGGCCTCCCCTGAATCCGCCTTGGGTTTTAGTGAGCAGGTTTTGGGGGGAACGATGCAGCATAACGCTCCGAATTGGGCTCGGTGGGTGGTTGGACCCGACCGGGTCATGCGACGGCCGCGCTGGGGCGCCGGGGTTGTTTCAACCCCTGGCCTCCCAAAGCGCGCGCCGCAAAACACCCTCCGGCGCCCCCGCCCGAAATCTTCTCCCGCACGCCCCACGCGCCGTGCCCCGGGCGCCGGCCCACGGCGGCCGCGCGCGGCAGGCGCGGCCGCAAACGAGCCGAAACCCGCGGGCAGCCCCGGGCTCCTCAACGGCGCATGTGTGTTTTGCACCAGGCGGCTCGTATCAGGGATCGCCCGGCCACCCCTGATCGCCCGCGCCGGCGTTTAGTACCATAGGCTGCATCATTCTGCGCACGAATCCCAAGGATTGAGGGTTGAGAGGCAGCCCACACGCCTTTCAGGGGAGCACGCGCCCAGACCCCGCCGGCCCGGGTCACCCGGGCCACAAAGAAACCGATTGCCGCGCCCCTAGAATTTTCATAAGGATTACGCTTATCATCTTGTGGCGAGCCGCCTCGTCCCATCACACGATTTGCTGCCTGACGTGGCGCGTTCCGCCCGCCGGGCGCTCTCTGGGCCGCGCGGCCGCCTCTTGGGGCGGGCACGCACGCGGCGCAGTCGGCGTCCCGTGGGCGGGACCACGCTCGTCGCCCCTTATTGCTGCAGCCGTCGCGCCGTCTTCACAGGCGCGTCCCTTGGATTGCGCGCGCTCCGAGGCTTTTCGAATTCCCGCGGCGGCGGCCCAACGGGGGAAGCGGTGCGCGCACGCCTCTCTGGCGACGCATAGGCCCTGCCCCGCCCGCGCGGCCGCTGCCGCCGGCTTTTTTCCCTGTGGGCACGCGCCGCCCTGCACGCACGCTCGTCAGCACTTGTTGCTCCAACTCCCTACCTCCCGCGGCCACGCGCACGCCCACAGCACCTTTGAAAGCACTGCTCAATTGATGTCCTGCATGCAATCCCCTTTCACTGCTCCTACGCCCCAGGGGCACGCTCTAAAACTTTTGCACCCTCGGGGGCCACGCGCGCGCAGCCCCGGCGCGCCGCCCCTCAGCGGCACCCTTACAGCACCTTCAACAAGAATTGGCTCGCGGGCGGCGTTGCTGCTTCCGTCCGGTAATAAGAGAGTGAGACGCGCTAAAGCGCCAGCGTCGCACAGCTGTCTGGGAACAGGGGAAAGCGAGAGAGAGTCAACTGCGAACACCACGCAGGTGCATTTGCTGCATCGCAGGGCCGCCGCAAGAGAGCCAGCTGCCTACATGACGGTTGAAAGATGCAGTGCAGTATAATATAAGATATATGCAGACTGTATGAGAACTGGCGGCGGAAATGGAGGCCGCCGGCCGAGGCTAAAAACTCCACAGGTTGACCCCGGTCGTTCGGGGCGCGCCGCGGCGCCGCTGCTGCCGCAGGCGCCGCTACTGTCGCGCGGCCGCGCCCTTTGTGTGCAGCGGCAGCGCGGGCTCCCCCAGGGCGTCGCCGGCCACCACCCGGTGCTTCGCCCAGTACAGGGCGGCCGTGAGCAGCGCGGAGGCTATGAATATTGCGTTGAACCACCTGCGGGGGCCCGCGCCACAGGGGGAGGGGGGGGAACGAGGCACGCGCGTGCGCGTGCGTGTGGTTGTTGGAACGTGTGTGGGGCAGCGCAATGGGCCCCAGCCGGCAGGCAGGGGCGCGCTCCGGCGGTTGGGAAGCTGGACAAGAGCACAATGCTGATAAACATCAGGAGACCTGGCGGATTGCCCGGCATGCAGTACCTAGAGGGGCCCACTCAACCCTGCGAGAACCCGGCCACCCCAGAACACCGCTTGCCTGTGGAAGAACTGAAACTCTAAGCCGCCGCCCATTACGTCATCGATGACTGATCTGTGGCGCAAGGGCGGGCGAGCGGCGGGGCGGGGGCCTTCGGCCGCGAATTGGAGGGGCGCAGGCGACCGGGGTTGGTGCGCGCAACGCAAACTGGGCACTTGGATGCACACAAACACACACACAAACACACACACAAACACACACACACACACATGTGAAACCATGCGCCCGTGCCACCCCACGCGCACACATGCACACATCTGCCGCAAGCCAAACCCAAAGAACCATTCTTGCCTGTATTTCAGGGGCAGGTTCTTGCGGATGAGCAGCAGGCTGGAGACCGCATAGACTCCAGTGAGCTCGCTCAGAAGCAGCACCAGCGACGCGCCCCCGACGCCCGCGCCCGCCGCGCGGCCGCCGGCCGGCGCGGCGGCGCCGCCCCCGCTGGGGCCGCGGGAGGAACGGGTCGCCGCTGAGAATATCTGGCCACGTGTGTGTGTGTGAGTGTGGATGCGTGCGTGCGTGTGTGTGTGTGTATGTGTGTGTGTGTGTTATTGTGTGTGTGTGTGTGTGTGTTAT